CTTCATGGCAAAGCTTTCCAAGTTGTGTATACTTATTTTTACTACTGCCACATTTCTCATTTCTTTCTCCTCTTATCTTCTAATAACTTTAAAACAAAACTTTATTACAAGAGCATTACTAGCACTGCAAAAGTGAACAGAATAGTATAGTAAACATCTTTGTATCTATGAATGGACCTTAATAATCACCAACCCAAGCCTAATCCTGGCCTATGCTGCTCACAATATTTAAAGCAAATTCCATAAATTAAACTATTTTTGTACCTCTTTCAGAATTCATGTCTAAAAAATTTTCTTTAAAAACATAATCATAATACCATTATCAAAACCTAAAAAATGAACAATTCTTATATCATCAAAAATCACACTTCCTTCAACTATCTCTAAACTCATAATTGATTAAAAGGCCATAGAGTATATCTTTTTTTAATCTATAGGTTCTTCTGTTATCTTTTGATTTCTCTAGTAATTTATTTGTTGATGAAAATCTTTTTGGCCAAGTAGCTTTTCCCATATTCTGAATTTTGCTGACAATGTTATCAAGGTATAGTAAACCATGTTCCTCAATCTTCTTCCCATTACAGTGATCCCTCACCTATTGTGGGAGTTATGTTCCAGAGACCCCCATGATAGGTGAAAGTAGCAGCGTTATATTTATTTTATTATTTATATATACTTTAAGGCTTTATAAACCCCACACACCTATAAACCTTTCCCACTCTGTTATTAACTTTTCCCACACTCTTATAAACATTTCATATGCTCTTAAACACTTTCTACACTCTTAAACCTACATAATTTTAACAACATATAAAATTCTATATGGGTACAGTATACTGCAAAATCCCACAATATAGTGAAAGCTCCACAATATAGAATTAGATATATTAAAAAAAATAAACCCATGATACAGTGAAGCCACAATAAGTGAACCGCAATATAGCAAGGGATGACTGTAATTGGTAATTGGCTTTAGAACCTTGATCAGACATAAGGTCAATTTTGTTGGCAAAGTTACTTCCTACGTGATACTGTGTCCTTACATTAGAGGAAATATAATGCTGATTGTCTCTTTTGTGATGCTATCAGCATTGATGTTTGAGGTCTTGGTCCAATAGCTCATAATAGGTTCCAAAACGGCAATATTCTATCATTCTTCATTTATTCACTGAACACTTTTATTAAGAAAAACATTCCTTACTATAAGAATAGTTCTTATAGTAAGGAAGAACAATTCTTATAGTAAGGAAGGCAGTTATAAATGTTTTATATCTTTTAAATTTATGTTTTCCAATAAGTTATTTCTCTAGTAGGTCCCAGTGGTGAACAATTTGCTGTTACTATCATAAGAATTTATGAAATTAAGCATATTTTATGTGTTATAACTCATTGCAGTTATGTGTATAGATGTTCAAATGATTCCATCTTTGACAAGTTTCAGCCTCTCCCAGTTGGTTCCTCTTCCATAACCATCCTATCCAAAATTACCCCGTTCTCCCATCATAATTATCTACATTCTTACTCTACTCACTTTTGTTAATAATATTTAATCATTTCATGGTATTTGGTAATCCATTTGTTTGTGTTTTTGCTTGACTTTCCTACTACAATGCAAAGTCCATGAAAAGAGGGCAATGAAGAAATATATGTATTATTGGGTTGGCCAAAAAGTTTGTTTGTTTGTTTTGCCATGAGATGACTATAGTAGTGCTTAGTTGTCTTTAACTGCATTCAAAACAACTTTGTTAGATTGTATTGTGATAGCTATCATATCAGCATGCATTTTTTAAAAACATCAGAAGTGGTGAGTTTTTGTGTACTCATTTTAATAGTGAAGATGGAAGAAAACAAGCAACATTTTGTGCGTATTATGCTTTATTATTTCAAAAATGGTAAAAACGCACTGGCAAACCATATCCACCAATACATTAAAAAGATCATATATCGATTCCCAGTCAGGGTACATGCCTGGGTTGCAGGCCATGACCCCCAGCAACCGCACATTGATGTTTCTCTCTCTCTGTCTTTCTCCCTCCCTTCCCTCTCTAAAAATAAATAAATAAAATCTTTAAAAAAAAAAGATCATATACTATGATCAAGTGGGGTTCATCCCAGGGATACAAGGATAGCACAATATTGGCCATCAATAAATGTAATACATCACGTAAACAAAGGAAAGACACAAAAAATCACATGATCATGTCAATAGATGCAGAAAAAGCATCTGATAAGGTATATCACCCATTTATGATAAAGCCAATCAGGAAAGTGGGAGTAGAGGGGAGCATACTTCAACATACTTCAACATATAAGAAACCTACATCCATTTCATACTCAATGGGCAAAAACTAAAAGTTTTCCCACTAAGATCAGGAACAAGACAAGGATGTCTGCTTTCACCACTTCTATTCAACATAGTATTAGAAGTCCTAGCCACAATGATCAGACAAGAAAAAGAAATAAAAGGCATCCAAATTGGAAAAGAGGAAGTAAAACTGTCATTGTTTGCAGATGACATGATAGTGTACATAGAAAATCCTACATACTCCACCAAAGAGCTACTCAACCTAATAAGTGAATTTGGCAAAACAGAGGGATACAAAGTCAATATTCAGGAATCAAAGGCATTCTTGTACACCAACAATGAAATATCAGAATCACAAATCACGAAAGAAGTCCTATTTCATATAGCAACAAGAAAAATAAAGAACATAGGAATAAACCTAACCAAGGAAGTAAAAGACCTGTACTCAGAAAACTACACATCACTGAAGAAAGAAATTAAGACAGGAAGACACAAACAAATGGAACCACATACCATGTTCATGTTTTGGAAGAATAAACATCATCAAAATGTCCATACTACTGAAAACAATTTAGAGATTCAATGCAATCTCTATTAAAATAACAATGACATATTTCACAGATATAGAACAAACATTTCAAAAATTTATATGAACCATAAATGACCCTGACTAACTCAGCAGTTTTGAGAAAGAACAAAGTAGGAGAGATCACAACACCTGACATCAAACTATATTACAAGTCCACAGTAATTAAAACAGTCTGGTACTTGCATAAGAACAGACACGTAGATCAATGGAACAAAATAGAGACCAGAAATAAACCCAAGTCTCTACGGTCAATTAATATTCAACAAAGGTGGCAGAAGCACTTAATGGAATAAAAATAGCCTCTTCAACAAACAGTGTTGGGAGAGGTGGACAGCTACATGCAAAAAAAATGAAACTTGATCACCAACTTACACCATACACAAAAGTAAATTCAAGTGGATAAAAGACTTGAATACAAGTCATGACACCATGAAAGTCCTAGAGGAGAACACAGGCAGGAATTTCTCAGATGTTCCACACAGTAACATTTTCACCAATATGTCCCCTAGTGCAAAGGACATAAAGGAAAAAATAAACCAATGGGATCTTATAAAAATAAAAAGCTTCTGCATGGGTAAAGAAAACAGCATTAAAATGAAAAGAGAACCAACCATATGGGAAAACATATTTGCCCATTATACCTCAGACAAGGGTTTGATTTCCAAAATATATAAAGAACTCACATAACTCCACTCTAAGACAACAAGCAACCCAATTAAAAAGTGGGCAAAGGACTTGAACAAACACTTCTCCAAAGAGGACATACAGAGGGTCCAGAGACATATGAAAAGATGCTCAGTATTCCTAGCTATCAGAGAGATGCAAATTAAAACCTCAATGAGATACCACCTCACACCATTGAGAATGGCCATCATAAACAAATCAACAAACAAGTGCTGGCGAAGATGTGGAGAAAAGGGAACCCTAGTGCACTGTTAGTGGGAATGTAGAATGGTGCAGACACTGTGGAAAACAGTATGGAATATCCTCAGGAAACCAAAAATAGTTTTGCCTTTTGACCCAGCAATTCCACTGCTGGGATTATATCCTAAGAATCATGAAACATCAGTTCAAAAGAACCTATGCACCCCAATGTTCATAGCAGCACAATTTACACTAGCCAAGTGCTAGAAACAACCTAAATGGCCACCAGTAAATGAGCAGATTAAAAAACTATGGTACATTTACACAATGGAATATTACGTAGCAGAAAGAAAGAAGGAGCTCCTACCCTTTGCAACAGCATGGAAGGAACTGGACAGCACTATGCTAAGTGAAGCAAGCCAAGCAGTGAAAGAGAAATGCCATGTGATCTCACCTATAAGTGGAACCTAATCAATAAAACAAACAAGAAAGCAAAATACAACCAGAGACATTAAAATTAAGAATAATCTGACAGTAACCAGAGAGGAGGAGAGAGAGGGATAACAGGGGATAATGGGGTGGGGGCACCAAGGCACATGTATGAAGGACATATGGACAAATCCAAAGGTGGTGGGTTTGAGGGTGAGAGATGGGGATGGATGGGGCAGAGGGGGGACATCGTGGGATGAAAATGAAGACAACTGTACTTAAAAAAAGGTAAAAACACAACTGAAATGCAAAAATGGATTTTTGCAGTGTAAAGAGGTGCTGTGACTGATTGAATGGATCAAGAGTGGTTTGCAGTTTTCCTGCTGGATGTTGCCCCTTGGTCAGGTAGACCAGCTGAAGCTGATAGCAATCAAATGAGACACTAAGAACAATCAATGTTATGCCATGTAGGAGATAGCCCACGTACTCAAAATACCAAATGTAGTTAATGGTGAAAAAGAAAAACCTGTTTTTTATTTTATGGAAAAACTAAATGGACTTTTTGGCCCACCCAACAGGTAAAATGGTTGTCATTAGGGAAGAAAGTTTTCCCCTATGGAAATGAGAGGGAAATATGTGTAAAGAAATAAATGGTAAGTGGAAGTAAAGGTAAAATTTCTTTGGTGGCTCATGATGATGTCTAAGTTTTCTTTCCAGATTTCAGGCCTTTTCTTCATAATCAACATCTAAGGTTATGTTTCCTTCCCAGCCATCCCATAATGGCTTACCTCTGCCTGTTCAGCACTCACTCACCTGGCCTCCATTTCTTTTTTTCATCCCTCATAACCATCCAAGGTTCCTTCCCTTGCTCTAATAGGGTAATCACATCTGGCTTAGAAATGGAACATCCTGCATGGAAAAAAAAAGGGACATAATAAAGAAAGTATTTACTTGCTGCAGAACTAGTAAGAATAATGGGATTAAAACCCATTTGTATCAAAGTTAGTTCAGGATCACAAACACTAACAAGAACAAAGAGGTAGAAACATCATGTTATTTTAATTTAAAACTATACAGGCTCTCTCTTACAGGGAAGTTAATGGCTGTGAGCACTAGTTTCAAATCATGCCTGTCACCTGAGTCTTAGGGCCTGTTTTCTCAGTTGTTGAGAGAATGATAATGTCTACCAATAATACTCTTGTGACATTTGATTTCATAAACATAAAGTGCTTGGATAAGTCCCTAGTACTAGTAGGCACTAAGTACTATATGTATATAGTGGAAATGGTCATATATATGACCAATTTTGCTATTTTTTGACATTTTGCTTAAAGTAATTAGTTTTCTGCCAGGATATTCATTCAATGGTAAATGCAAAGTTCATGTATTTTAAACTACTAATCATATATCAATTAAAATATATGTCCTTTGTAGTGAATTGAAAATGTCATAAAAAGGTGTCCACTTGAGTTTTAACAGTTGATTCAACCCACCATCATATATATTATAAAGGCTTTTTCAATAGGTATGTAGAGCCAGACACCTTGGTCTTCCTACTTATACTTCGAGTTAGCAGATAATAGACTAGCTACAGCAGCATGAAACCACATTTTTTTGACAATGGTTTTGTTATATATAAGAATTTACATTTAGCTGTCATTAAAGAGAAGCAATTAAAGAAAAGGCAAAGAAAGATGTAAAGGTCAATGAATTATGGAAGAAGTTGAAAGTACTATTTCACAGCTCAATAACTGAAGTTATCTATTTCCAAACTACGAGGCAGATAATCAGGCAATTAAAATTTTTTTTCTATTAGCATTTTAAAAATTTTTATAATTTTTAATGTTGTTCAAGTACTGTTGTCTCCATTTCCCAGGCAATTTTTAGAAAGACAGCACAGAAATCAGTTCTTGAGAATTTCCAAATGATCTGATACAGGTAAGCTTACCCACTGACACCAAGTTGCTATAGTTCTCTAGGATCACATCTCTGTACAAATTTCTCTGGTATGAGTTCAGGCATTCCCACTCTTCCTGAGAAAAGTCTACAGTCACATCTCTGAATATCACCAAATCCTGAAATGACAAACCCACATATTATTCGTAAAATTATTTCTGCAGAGGGCCAGTATTTTAGGCTTTGAACACCACATATGGTCTCTGTTGCATTTCCTTCCATTTTCCCTTCATTTAAAAAAATTCTTTCAGAATGTAATTAACTTATAGACTATACAAAAACAGGCCATGGATTGAATCTGGGTTCATAAGCTATAGTTTGCCTATCACTGCTATCAGCAAAACTGCCTCTGTACTGTGGGATACTTAATTTTATATATATATATTTTTTCAGGTAAATATCAGAATTCCCCAATTAATTAAAAGTGTTCATGAGGACACTGCTTACCATGGGCCTCAAAAATTCTCAATAAATGTGATTTTGTCTAACCTGTTTTCCTTTAAGAATTAGAGAAAAAAACTGATGGAATTCTTTTCCCCAGATGAACCATATAATGTTTTTAAAAAGAATCTACATAAAAGAATCTTTCAGACCTAACTTCATCATTATAGTCTATCATTAGCATTTTTCCCTATTATAACAGATCCTTATTGAATATTTCTGATTTGATACACAATAGTCCATTTTATATACCTTAAACTTAATGATCACACTTTAAAACAAGTTATCTTTAAAATTTGTATTACACGAAATCTCTAAAAAGCTACAATGTACAACATGCTAGCTTAGACACATGTTGTGCTGTAAATATAAAATTCACACTAGATACTGATGACTTCAAAAGAAAAAGAATGTAAAATACTTCAAAAATCTGTATATTGATTATACATTGAAATGACAATATTTTGGTTATATTGGGTTAAGTAAAATATTAAAATAGCCCTGGCTTATATAGCTCAGTGGATTGAGCACAGGCCTGTGAACCAAAGGGTCACTGGTTCAATTCCCAGTCAGGGCACATGCCTGGGTTGCAGGCCAGGTCCCCAGTAGGAGATGCGCAAGAGGCAACTGCACATTGATGTTTCTCTGCCTCTCTTTCTCCCTCCCTTTCCCTCTCTCTAAAAATGAATAAGTAAAATCTTTAAAAATATTAAAATAAATTGTACATTTCTTTTTACTTTTTAAAATGTGACTACTAAAATGTTTAAGATTATATAAGTGCCTTGCACATTACTCTATACTTTTTATAAGACTGACATGCTTCTTATTGCATGCAGAAGGCACTAATTCCATAGAACATTTAATGTGTAACTACTACAAAATTTTAAAATTACATGTGGCTCGTGTTATAATTCTTTAAGACAGTACTAAAGTATTCTCTAGTTATAAAAGTCCTAGATCAAGTATCTCCCTCTAGGGACCTCATTTCTGCTTCATCTCTACTCTAGACAAAGACCAAACACACAGGAGATGCTGAGTAATTGCTCACTTTGCACATGGACATTGATGGAGAAGAGAGACCACACAAGGAGGGGCCTGGGCTGATGGGCTCCACCCCTCACTAGAATGAGAGAGATTGGGAAGAAGCTGTTGGATGGGGCTCTATTAGGAAGCTTCAGAGAATGTTTATAAAACTTGAAAAAAATTACAAAATTTCATACAGAAACACCAACTTACATGAGCCATGATTTCAGAGTTGCAAGAACTGGTCAGTTTTCCTTATGGGTCATTCAATGGAGAAGCAGAAGCCATTTGAAGCTAGAACTGGGGAAACAATGGAAGCCTTAACATAATTGCCTCAGAGCTCTAAATTTTTAAAACCCACTTCTCCATACAAAACTTTCACTTCTCCCCTAAAACGCATACAAGTTATGAAAGGAAGAGGCAGTTTAGACAAATATATGAGCTCGCACAAACCACAGGGAAATCAATTGCATGAAGACAGACGAAGAGCAGAGACTCCTGCGTGAAATCGCATGTTCCCACTTGAGCAAGAAGGCTTCCATGTACTCGTCCACAAGAGGAAGACTGAACTGAACCTAACCATGGGCTGTCCATACTTGCCCTGAGCATATCCCCCTCCTTTCATCCATGGCTACACCATCTAAACCAAAACTTCCTTTTAAAACTCAGAAATCTGGCTGGCTTCCCTAAATCAGAGTATAAAAAATAGTATACAAAAAATTTCCCAAACTTTGCAGCATTATTTGAATCCCCTGCAGATCTTTAAAATATATTGATGCCTGCCACAATCCCCCAAAATTCTGATTTAATTCTTAGAGTGTGACCTGGGAATCAGGATTTTTAAACCCTCCTAGAACCCTGGCCAGGCGGCTCAGTTGGTTGGAGCATCGTCTCATGCACAAAAAGGTTGTGGTTTCAATTCCCAGTCAGGGCACTGATGGGAGGCAATTGGTCGATGCCTCACTCCCTCTCCAATCAATAAAAGTATATCCTCTAGTAAAGATTAAAAAAACTCTTATGATTTTATAAAACCTCTCCCATGTAATCATAATTTGAAAATTTCTATTACTTTATACCAGAACATAAATTAATAGCTCTGCAAGAACTATTCCAATAAACCCAAACAGTTCCATCCCTGCTACCTTTCCCCCTATCTTCCAAATCTAGAGGCAATAACTTTTACCTCTTTTAGCCATTTAAACTCCATTCATTTAAATAACATGCCAATATTGTTACTTCTTAATTTTTAGCTTTAAACATTATCTCCTGGCTTTCTACTATGGAAAGCATAGTTTTAGTAATTTTTTATCCACTGACAGACCTAGGTAGGCCTAGGAGAAATGGGAAATCACCAGGCGGGAACTGTACCATGGGACACAGGAAAAACAGATGCCTGGCTACGATTGGGGTCTGGGGTTGGCCTATCCAGCATAACAGGATGCAGCTTTAACTGGGGCCTTACAAGATGTATCAAGAACAATGGTCAGCAGAAATGGCATCCAACAACCAGCTCTAGCCAATCAGACTCTGACACCCCAACCAGTCACCCAGCAGTTTTTTGTGCACGAAAACCCTGCCTTGAGAACAACCAAGGGAGTCCTAACCCCCCTCGGTTGGCTCCACTTTCCCTCTTATTCCCGGCTGATAAACCCTGCTCCTTAGCTTGCTGCATCCATCTGGTTTCTTGAGCAACTCTGACCTAACAATAACATACATCATGTTTACTACTGATAACAAATATGCATTATATACTTAAAATTGCTGAGAGCAGATCTTAAGTATTCTCATCACAGCAAAAAAAAAATCAATGGGTGATGAAAACATTAAGTTGATTGTTTAATCACTCCATTCCACAATATATACACACATCCAAACATGCTTCACATCCTAATTATACACAATTTTTAAATTGTTGAAAATAAACTAAAAAGGGGTTCTATGGAAAGTAATCTCACAGGGTGTTCCTATCATAAATTCCTAACAGGGCAGGTCAAGCCCCAGGCCTATACTTCTCCCCTACCCCATTCTTCCTTAGTGAGTAGTTTATTTATCTTTGCCTTAAGCAAGCCCTGTCCATTGTTTCTGTGCTTCTGGGTTAACAGACCTTTGAAATAAATGTAACTGTTACCAAATGGACTCGTGCGGGGGGCGGGGGAGGGGGGGAGCCCAGATACTGTTACCGAAACAAGCCCCCTCCACTGGGATCTCTATCACTGTGGATTCTTTGCCCACGTCTCCTAGATTGTGGCTCTCAATGCCAGAGTTTGGTAAAAAGGAAAGGAACTATTCAATTCGTGTGGACTGGCAGGCCTCCCAAGGTGCCTGGCACCACCAGCAGTATTGTCATCATCTCTAGTTGTTAATCTAAAACCACGTGGCCCACCAGCAAGAGTCCTTTTACCCCTTTCCTTCCTGTAAGATCTCACATTGTCCCCCATCCTGCATTGCCTCTACTGCATTCTTTCAAACTACTGAGAGAGCTCTGCATGGCTGCTACATCTTGCTTTCCTTCTTCCTAAGCCTACTGGGCAAGGGAGTTCCCTCTCTGCCCTCAAAATCACGTGGTTAGAACTAGTGTGGCTGTCCTGCCAGGGCTTAAATCCCAGAGGGATCTTCCTCTGCAACCCCATCTCTGCCTCCTCCCACACTTGGCTACACCTGCTAGCACTGCCCTGTTTCCATCCTTTCTGGGCTGCCAGTTAGTCCCAGTTGGGGTGGCCCTGTGGCTGGAGTGAACCAAGATCTTATAGAGGCACTTTAACCAGGGGAACTGCCTCCCACTTACATCAGAGGTTAAAGTCATGCCCACCTCCCTAGGTAGCCTGCTATTGACATGCAAAATAACCATTTTTGCATATCAGGTATGAAGCTGGCCAGTTGTTGCTGTGCAAACTGTCAATGGCCCTGCTCCATGTGTCCCATTCCCCATGGCCCTCCACCTAGGGAGGGGGAAATCTATTTTCCCTGGACACCTCGAGTTCTGGACCCCACACCTCTTTACAAATCCCCTCTTTGTGGGGGGTGGGGGAGGCCCTGGCTGCACCCCATTACATAACCACCTTCAAGTGAGCCTTGCTTCCTCCCACCTCCATATAATCTTCCTTACATTCCCTCCTTAATTTCAAATATATAAAAGAAGCTGCAAAACTGATACTCTCTGGAGCACTTGAGATCCTGCTCTGCAGCAAATGCCAGAAGTTTGGGCTAAAAAAAAAACCCAAAAAACTCATAAAGTCTTCTACAGGTCTAGATTTTTTTACATCAACAAAACAAAACAAACTCATGCTATCAAACTTCTAACCATAGCCAGCTGTTAACAAAAATTTCCACTTTATGAGTTCCCTTGGAAAAAAAAAATCCCACTCCTATTCTAGAATGATTAAAGATACCTAAACCCTAAACTACTCATTAATAAATCACTGTAGAAAGCAAAGGATGAGCATCAATTTACAGAATAGGTATTTCTGTCCTGAGACTCCTTAGGAAAAACAGTGCTCAGAGCAACTGAATATACCGCGCATGGTTAACTAACTGTACAAAGGAAGTAGGTGGACAATAGAAGAAGGAATCCATTACTTAGGTCCCTGCTGTGGACTACTAGGGAAATTCTAGGACCCACATCCGAGAGATAATTCGTAAGCAGGGCATTTCAGGGAAAGGAAATAAAAAATCCCTGCCTCCTGAAAATCAAATTCTGTTCACAGAAACAAAGAAGCAGCACATGATCACACAGAACCTGGCTTTCAAAGGTGCGGCACCGATTCGTTTCACTTCAAAAGGCCTTCTCAGGAGACCGGCAAAACTGGGAAGGCAAACAAGGTTCATTACATCCCAAGATTTTCTTGACAGGGTCAAAGAAAACCGACCTTCCCTGTCCCCTCGATCCTCTCTACCTGTACGCACAAAAGAAAACGAGAGGAGGGCGGAGAAGGTCCGTGGTCTCAGATATCCGAGTTCTCAGCGGAGTGTGCCCTAGTTCAAACACCGCATTGTCCTCGGTACCCCCCACCCCCACCCCTCTGCCGGGTGGCCCACCGCGGTTTCTTCGGTCCAGCGGATCCTCCCAGAGGCCCGCCCAAAACCCAATTCCAAAATTCTGCTAAGGATCTTCATTACGGAGTTCCACCTCCCCTCTCTGGCCTTCTCTTACAGCCGGGCCTAGGTAACTGAGGTGTTTGTGGAGGTGAGCAGGGCCACGGGGTCTCACACTGCAGAACAGTACCCGCGCACAAACCCAGCCGAGCGTAGCCACCGCCGCAGGAAATTCACCGCGCGCCCTCCTGGTCTCAGAACCACCGCAGGTCCTCACTCCGGAGGAAAGGCAGGCTCCAGGACCCACTCCCGGTCCGCAGCAAAGACTTGCCAGTGCTGCGCTGGCTTTCTTCAGAAGAGCGCCGAGCACAACGGAGCCTGGCTTACCGAACTCAGGCCACACCTGGCTCCAAGGAAAGCCCAGCACTCAAGTCCGGCCGCGGGATTCTGGAGAGCGCCTGCCTCTGTGGGAGTGCGCAGGGACTCGGGAGAACGGGGCATGCCCCCCACCCGTGCTCCTGATTCCGACCAGGCCAGGCAGACACTGCAGAGAAGCGGGTGCCGGAAAAGCCAGGGTGTCCAGATCTTTTTACACCGGCCTGCAAAAGTGACCTGGTGAGTGACCGGTGCTATTGACGATAATCCCGGCGTGCTCCCCTATCAGAACTGAGTGTGGGGAAAAATCAGAAAAGCTATACATTAAGGCTTTTTTTCACTGAGTTCCTGGCTCCGTCCCCAAGAGCCAAGAATTGAGGTTCCTGGGAGTTGCTTTCTTGCTGTACAGAATGCGCAGGCGCATTAAGGGGCGGAGGGCTGGCTAACAAGAGGATCTTCTGGAGAACCCGGAGGTTCTTGGGTCGCTTCCCCTGAGGGTTGGGACGCTCGGAGGATGGGGCTTGGGGGAGCAGTGGAGGGGAAAGAGGCGCGTGTATGATGAGGTTGGAACCAGGATCCGTGATTGGGACCTGGTGTTCAGATCTTTAAGGCTTGTGATGTGACACCTCAGCTCTGGTAGCTTGTGCCCTGTGGCCTTGGCTGAGGGACTGGTGTAGTACCCTTTTGCCTGAGTGTGTGATTTAAGACAGGGTTGTATTTTCGTGCTTGAAGCTCTTAACTACGTGTGTGCCATTCATTTGATGCCTGACTGGGATGGCGCCACTGAGATAGTTGTTGGGGATAATGGCAGACTCTGACATTTTTGGTTCATTGGGGACTGTGAGGTCTGTGGTGTCAACTAAGATACATTAGAACCTGCAGAGAATTTTCGGTGAGTTTATTTGAGCCAAACTGACAATTGCCATGAAGCAAAATCTCAATGAACTGAGAAATGCTCCAGAGAATGGCAATTTAGCCCTTTATTTCATACATTACAATCAAAGGAGGCAGAAGGGGTTACGTGAAATCCATTAGTGATGGATTAGGGAGGCAGGAGAAAGCAAACTGGGAAACATCTGGGATTGGATAAAAGGTAAAATGATAGACATGATACACATGTTCTACAGGTGGGTACAAGATCATTAACCCTTAAGAATGAACTGATAACAGTAACAATGAGGGGATTTGTGGTTACCCTCTGATGCCATGTCTGTACTTGGAGGGGTCTGGAAAAACGAAATTTGACATTGCAAAGGTATGTTATCATAGATACAAAAAGACAACAGAAAGGCTCAGTTAAAGTAAAGATTCATCTTTGTTAGGGGAAAATGTCAGGCTAGGACATGACTACCTGCCATGAACTGATTTTGGTTAATAAATTTTAATCTCAGGCTATCCTATGTGGTTACTTTAGGTCTCCCCTTAGCTTGTCAGGTTTAGTATGTGTCCTATTTTCTTCCACATAACCTGCTTTTGGTCATAAATCAATCCAAAGGATGCATTAATGTCTAACCTTTTGGTTGGATAATGAGGTCCCAAGGTGCTAGGAGGGCCCATTCCGAGGAAGTCTCAGTTTGTCTTGCTGAATAATGAACTACTGGGGACGCGGTAAGACAGTAACCTTTGATGGCATTTAAGTTTGAATTATTATTATTTAAAAAAAAGGTACGTGAATGGGAGACAGTCATTCTTATGGGCCTTTATTAAGAAAAATACTCTGAATCATTTTCCAATCTATAAGCTATCACAATTCAGGTTTTGTTGTGTCTTAATTTTCTATATTTTGCATCTACTATAATACTCACTTATAGTTTGAGGATACCATACACCTTTTTAGTTTTCCTAATCTGACCATGAGATGGGTTTTTTATTTACTATGGCCCATTTACTTCCCACTGGAAGCACACAAATGCTCTTATTAATTTGATTTCTGATTGTTGTGCAACCTGAAACTGTAACCTTAAGTTTTTAATCAGTGTCAAGTCTGTAAAACACAATACTTTAAATTACAATTAATATCAAAAAATTGCACAGTCCAGGAAAACAGGAAGAGTATTATAAATAAAATTTTCTGTGCCTCAGCAACAGTTACAGTTCACTACGTTATGATAGCCATTTCAGCTCCTTTGTGAATTAATATAGTTAGTAGTCTGTTGGGTTAGGGGGTAAGCACATTCAGTAGTTACCTCCTTTGAACTTCTAAAAATATACACATCTTTTCCTTCCTTTTGGAACAGCATTTTTTTCCTAAATTTCAAAATAGAAACCATAAAGAGAGTATTTTTAAAAAGATTTTATTTATTTATTTTAGACAGAGGGGTAGGGTGGGAGATAGAGAGGGAAAGAAATATCAATGTGTGGTTGCCTCTCGCATGCCCCATACTGGAGACCTGGTCCGCAACCCAGGCATGTGCTCTGACTAGGGATTGAACTGGCAACCCTTTGGTTTGCAGGCTGGCACTCAATCCACTCAGCTACACCAGCCAGGGCAAAAAGAGTATTATTAAAAAAATCATTTTATACACCTTTAACAATGAACAGTTGGGCTATATACACAAGGCTAAAGAACAAGTATAGTTATTATTAATATTAGCAGATAGGTAAAGACAATCAAATAAAGTTTAACCTTAATTTGTAGGTATATAGGCCTTGTTGATGTTTTGGGATAGCTATCTATCTCTGGGGTCAGCGGCTTCTCATCCTTGAGAAGTCTTTGATCTCCATTGTAGGTGGAGACAAGTGTCAGAGACTGGGGCAGATGTCTGTTTGAGTTTAGGCCCCCTGAAAAGGTCTCTTCCAACAATGTTGGAGAAAGTGTCTTTAATTAATGTCTTTTCCAGTGGACAAAAGTCTCCTTGTTTTAACTCATGGTCTTTGAAGTCTTTGTTTTCTGGTAGTGCACTGTGAAATGTTACTAATTTATTAGTCCCTATAAGCTGGTTAATGAGCCCTTACCTTAATATAACGCAGAATGTCTCCTTTTAATAAAGTTGATTCATATATTCCTTCATCTAGATTCACAGGGTGGCTGCTGACTATTTTCATAAGGAGAAAGGCTATGTTTACTATAGATTTGAGGTTTAGTAGTACTATAAGAAAATTTTGGGGCCAAAAGAGATTAAAAGCTTCTGAAAATTTACCTAGTTGAGTTTCAATGGTATCATTTGTATGTTTTACCAATCCAGAGAATTGGGGGTGATAGGCACCCAATGAAAATTCTGTAGAACAGGTCAAATACTACAACTGGATAGCGTTATTTGTCTAGTAAAATGAGTCCCTCAGTCACCAACTCAGAGAGAATTCCCCAACTGGGAATTAATTATTTTTAAAAATTTACCTACCATTAAAGCTGTTGCTTTCCTGCAAGAGAATGCCTTGACAAGAACAAAATCATGACTAAATATATTTTTTGGTATTTTTGAGATGGTGGCATTTGTATAAAATTCAGTCATCAGCACTGGCTGGTGTAGCTCAGTCCACTGAGCATGGGCTGCAAACCAAATGGTCGCTGGTTTGATTCCCACTCAGAGCACAAGCTTGGGTTGCTGGCCAGGTTCCCCATAGGGGATGTGTGAGAGGCAACCACACATTAATGTTTCTCTCTCTTTCTCCTTCCCTTCCCTGTCTCCAAAAATAAATAAACTCTTTAAAAGTAAAAAAATCCAATCACCATACCTCAAATGTATCTAAAGGAAGTGGGAAATGCCCTTGGAACCCATGGAATAGTTTTTCTGGGCTATATTTTAGACAGAACATTTGCTATATACTTTATGAGCTACAGAAGTTTTCCAGTAATATTGTTTACTCCATGAAATTATCTTTTAGGACTCTAGTTTTAGTTCATGTACATGTTAAAGTACAGAATAGGTAATTAAGGCCAAAAGAGATTAAAAGCTTCTGAAAATTTACCTAGTTGAGTTTCAATTGTATCATTTGTATCAATCTCTTATAGGTAAGATTGATTTCTGATTGGGTTCAAGCCATATCTGTTTGCCTGAAACAAAGCTTCCCACTTTTGTTGCTATGGTCTTTTTTTCCTGTGCAGTAGTTCATCAGAACTATAAGAGATAATCTTTTATTGATTTACCAGAAAGCAAAGAACATTTTTGGGCCTGGATAACTTGTCTGTTCATTGCCACCTGCCTAGTTGTGGTATTGGTAAAATGATTTCCTTTAGAATGCCCTGGAATTCTGATAATTGCCCTTTGTTTTGGTTCCTGCATGGAATCTAATGTTTCTGCAACTAGTTTTCCCTGTGTTCATGGGCTGCCCTAAGGAAGTTAAGAAGCCTCGCTGCCTCTGTAACCAGACAGCCTGGGGTCTGGCGCTTTCTGCCATGTACAAGCATAACACAAAGATTTATAGGGAAGGAAAGAGGTTTTGATTAGAGGGATACCCACTTTGAGAGGAGGGGGCTGAGAGCATTCCTTCTCCAAACCAACTCTTCTGCAAAGCACAGAAATTCTCATGTGCCCAGAAAGACTAAAGTCCAAACCCATGCCAAAGGTTCCCTGTCATTCCTTATCTGTTCTTGGTGCAAATTTGTGGGTTTTAGCATTACCATTACCTTGTGCAGTCCTCTCTGTTTCCTGGGGTCTGGAGTGTGTTGGGAATAAGGAAATTAAGAACTAAATTTTACCTTAGTAAACAAGAACCACATTGTAGCTAAAAGGAAATGATAAGGGAGATATAGTGCAGCTAAGCAAACATCCTGTGTTGAGCAGATGCTCTCCCCTGGGTAGGCTAGATAAGCAATGCTTTGTAGTTTTTAATGAGAAAATAGGAACCTAGCTAGTTAGAGCCAGGAGATTACTAGGTTAATGAACAAACATCCTGCCTTCCTGCCTTATGCAAGAATGCTTGGTTTGAAATTCCCGCGCGAGGTCTTTGTAAATGAATTGCTAACTGCCACGTCTGCTTCTGTATAACGCTTGCTTGTCTGCCCCTATATAAGGACTTAGTTGTAAGCGTTCGGCGCGGCTCTCGTTTGCAGCTCCTTGTGGGCACTGTGTCACTAGACACTTTGAGAGTTCGCCCCTGCACAGGTTAAACTTGGCCAATAAAGTAACATCTTTGATACCCTGAAAGTCTTCGATATTTGTTCTCGCGTTTGCTGGATGCTACAGAGTGCACTGCCAGATCACTCCAGATGGTTGTTCAGGGGAAGCTCCATCCATGGGGTCTTGGCGGCTGAGGCTGCCTGTACCTCTGGGGCCAAGCAACTTTCCCAGCTCACGCCTCCATGTGCTGCTTTCAGGGCAAGAGAATGGGAGAAGACCAGGACCCATGTGGTGTGTTTCAGTATCCCAAGGGCTGGTGCTCAGCAATGCATGTCCTGGAGTGGGATTCCCCTGCCTGCCAGCTGCCTTTCAGCCATGGGAGGCCTA